GTTTACATCCGGCTAAACTCCTGGGACATTCAGTATGGACAAGAGGCAGTGATGATCTGTAGAACTTTTGGTTATCCCGGGACGCAGAGAGTCGTGTGGTATAAAGAGAACACAACGATTGAAGAGTCTGACCACCACCACATAGAAGGTAAGAAGGTACAGTCTATGTACATATCCCCTTTGCAAACACATATACATGTATTACTATGTGTGCACTCACTCGCACATAAACGTGTAAACGTTCGGATACACATTCATGTTACTAAGGCATAAGCTTGAGAAAACATCATTATTATATGCTCTCTCTTAACAACAACACACAGTGATATCAGTCGATAAAGCATTTTCCTTCCAGAAAAAAGGTGACAACTATAAGGGAAACTGAAAACAGAAATGAAAATATAAGTATATATTAGCACAAAGTTTTACAGAAATTCTCATTTTTCACTTCATTAATGCCGACACACCTTGCCCTCCACAGAAAAGGTGACGAATTCATCGATCTACACTGACGTTGACTCTTCCCTCCGCATCATGGGACTGGCAAAAAGAGATTTTGGCAGTTACACGTGCAAAGCGGTCAACGACGCCACGGAGTCAGAAACAAGTGTGATGTTGCAGATAACACGTGAGGGAGAGATCGCGATTAACTGAAATTCTGACTAAAAGCCGCAGCTGAGAGAAAGAGCTGTACGTTTTACAGTACGTTTTACGTTGTTAATTCTTGCGGTAATGAACATCACTTCAGAATTAAATAATCCTTGTTTTACTTACCCTCGCAAATTAAAAGTTAAGTTCGATTTTTATCCAAAACTACTTATACACGGATGGAAAATATCAAAAGAAACACATTAAAATATGAATATAATTGTGTTAATTTATTGTTCCTGGAATGATCAAAATATGGAGAATAGAATAAAAGAATAAGTAATAAAGAAGATAACGATAACGATTCTTCAATGAGACTAATGATGCTTATAACAATAACGGTAAAATTAATAGCGCCATTGCTGCATTTATATCAGTACTAATATCACTAATTGTAAGAGATAATAAAAATAGTAACATTACTAGAAATTGTAACAATAACTACAACAATGAAATCAATAATATTAGATATCAACAGTAATATTAGTAGCAATATTAACAATAGGAAAATGTTCATCTATACGAACATACTAATACATATGCGTCTATATGTATATGCCAGGTGCCTGCATTATTTTCAGATAATTTATCTAACTGAATGTAAAGTATTGTAATGTAAAACATTTTGTGATGTAAAATAAATGTAAAATATTTTCACATAAATGATATAACGGAATGCAAATGATTGGCTAGTAGACTTCCTGTCCAGCTAATATGCTCTCATCATAGTAGACAGTGTAACTAAGCCAACTCATGGGCTGAAAATGATAAGCTAACCCAAGCAAGAGTAAGAGTGTGGGTGGGCATTTCCCTTCGAGTGGATTTGTGTGGGCGGGCATTTCCCTCTGAGTGGATTTGTGTGGGCGGGCATTTCGCTGCAAGTGGATTTGTGTGGGCGGGCATTTCCCTATGAGTGGATCTATGTGGGTGGGCATTTCCCTTCGGGTGGATTTGTGTGGGCGGGCATTTCTCTATGATTTGATTAGACAAATACTTCTATATTACTTAAAATGGCGTATATATGATTTATTCTGCTATTATACTAATGCTCTCAGGAACACGTTCATTTTCTTTATAAAACCTGGCATGCATCAGATAACATAAGTGAACACGCAGCAACAGTTCCATTTGTTTGTTACGTCGTTTGTTTGCGCTCATCATTCTATTTAGGACTCAAAAATACCTCCAAACTCTTATAAATGCATATTTACAGGAAAAAAAAAATATAAACAATGAAAATGAAATGACCCTTGCTGTAGCGCTTTATGCTGAACTTTTGTGATTCATAAATACCTACAAATTAATGATGTTTTTTTCTTAGAGAAAAAAAAATCTTTACAGGAGTAACACGCACAAAAGGCCTGGTTACAGAAATGAACATCAAAATTGATAGGAATGTAGTGCCCTCTACCGAAGCGCGGAGGCCACGGCTGTATATTAGTATATATAAGTATAAAGTTGTTGTCAATATATTTTTCTCTTTAACAAAAGAAAGGATAAATGCAATTATGCGCCCCGTGGACGTCAGCCCAATTGATTGCTTGATGTATGTATAAATACACATATGTGTCTATTTACATATATATGTATATATGTTTATGTGCGTGAGTCTATTTATTTATATGTGTGTTCGTGTGCGTATGCGCGCGCGTGTGTGTGTGCATATACTTATTTATATACATGTACATGCATATGCATATATCTATGATTATATATATACAGAAATACACAGGTAAATATATATACAGTTTTTACAGTAAACCTCCGATTATCCGAATTGTTTGCTCATCCGAACTGCTGTCATGTTCCCCAAAAATGTCTACTGTTTTTCTATTCGATTGCTTTCCATTCATTCTGGCGATGGCGGTCGCTGTGATCTCCGTCATATTGTGTTTGTCGCCGGCTATTTTCTGAGGTTTCTTTTTACACACGTGTTATACTGTTAACATATCTATTATTACACTCCAATGTCTGTTCATTTTTATTTTAAGATAATCGGAAGGTGTTAAGTGAAATTACGTACGGCGAAACCGATTTGTAAGTATGAATGGGAACTTTGTCTGGGTGATCAGTATACGACTTAATATACTGAATCTCGGTTAATTGCGAGAATGATACCAGTGCATTGTTTCATTTACCGATATTTCATTTGACTTTTTTCTTCATGTTTTTTGAAGAGCGGATTTGTAAATAAGTACATGTACAGTAATGAAATTCCGTTTTCACTGAAGCAGAGTTTCTCATGTTTGTGTTTCGATTTATTTCCAAGTGTAAGTTCGCTTAGTTTGTGCATGTTCACGTGTACGTGTATTTATGTTTCAATGTATTTTCGAAAGTCGTACACTAGATATCCAAATAACAGAAATGTCCGCATATTCGAACAAAATCCATGTCCCTGTGAGGTTGGATAATTTTACTGTATATATATATATATATATATATATATATATATATATATATGTGTGTGTGTGTGTGTGTGTGTGTGTGTGTGTGTGTGTGTGTGTGTGTGTGTGTGTGTGTGTGTATACACACACATACACACACACACACATTTATATATATATATATATATATATATATATATATATATATATATATATATATATATGTATGTATGTATGTATGTATATTATGTGTGCGCATATGTATATGTTTATAATCATGTATGCATATGTGTGTACGTAAATATGGTCTTGGGATTCAAAAGCACCATATGCTTATATAGCGCTAAACATAATCATGTAAGCAGAGCTACATTTTTTTTTCGACCCGATCTGACAACATAATGGACCACTGGCTCAACTTATTCTCGTTTACTCACTGTGACTTCTTAATCATTAATGTTTTTAATTTTTGATTTAGGCTCGACATTTGGCGGCGATCACGTTACACTTGGCGCCATCTTGGAAGGGGAGGGAGACTGCGAGGTTCTCTTGTTTACAGAAACGAGATCTTTTTTTTCTCGCTCAGTAGATATATATATATAATTCTCTCTCTTTCTCTCTCTCACTCTCTCTCTTTCTCTCTCTCACTCTCTCTCACTCTCTCTCTCTCCTCTCTCTCTCTCTCTCTCTCTCTCTCTCTCTCTCTCTCTCTCTCTCTCTCTCTCTCTCTCTCTCTCTCTCTCTCTCTCTCTCATTCTCATTCTCTCTCTCATTCTCGCATTATCTTAATGTTTGTCTCCATGAGCTGCATATTTTAGTATGTTTATTTATCACTTTCATGTATTTTTTTCTTGCTATTAAAGTTCTGCAGCCAGACACAGATTTACTTAAATAATTCTTATTTCAATGAAGGTGGTGCCTGAGATAAAAGAAGAGTAGGACACAGAAGTATATACCTAAATACACCTAAACAAACAGTAACTGGCTAAATGTGACACGTCTTATGTCATCGTATCATAAGAATTCAAGTAATTTATCAACACCAATCTACCACTCATCAAATCATCATCACCAATCCCATTAATCGTTAGATAATTACCATAATTAGAGTCTTATCATCACCGACAGGTCAGTCATCACTTAATCAGCGTCATTAACCTATCTTTAGTTCTCACCAGTTATCAACCCATCTTCAATTATAAAAATAAGATAATAATAAAATAAATAAAAGAGTGATATAAGGAAAATAATGCAAATCACAAATTATGGAAATACCTATGGTTCAGGATAAGGAACTGTACTCGGCATATATTACAAACAGGATTACCCAGCAGTTAATAGAATAACCGCCTCCTCTCTACCTGCATTACCAAATTCTATAGGAATAAATGCCTTCTTGAAACGATCTTTGAAATATTACATGTAGCAAAGAAACAAACCACACATGAAAGCTCACATTGTAAAAAAAAAAAAAATCGAAAAAAAAAACAGATGCTTTATTCACACATACAGTAACCTTTCCTTTATATTAATGAAGTTCCGAAAAGGTTACTTAGTTCAAACGGAAGGCGGATTCATTTTGGGATGAGGTAAACACAAAACGAGTCCCCCCCCCCCATCCCTTGATCGTTGTTATTGTGTGTGTGTGTGGGGGGGGGTAGAAGACGGATACTGAGGCCCAAATGTAGGGGATCAGCCCTCGCCTCAATCAATTTTGCAGGGTCTTTTTTTTTCTCCCCCTTTCCTTTTCCTTCTTTTCATCATCCTTTTCATGTATACTTATCCTAATCGTTAACTCATTTTCACCCTTTTCGCCACAATACTTTATCATAATGCTATAAAAGCCCCATCCTGTCGCTGTGTTTTGAAGACGCCGCTAATGACCTTGGATGTTGACGCGGCAGAGATTTTTTAATAAATAGATAGATACAGAAAGGATACAAAAAAGAGAGATACAAGAAAATCCTTTCGGTGACTGAGAATGCACGCTATTATTCTCAATGGAATAAACGTTCCTGTCAACAGTCCTCGGGAAGACTGGGTTTATGTTGGAGTATGTCTTCGTGTGAACATGACAGTATACTTTAGTGTACGTTATATCTGGGTGATCAATTCAGTGGACACACGCACACATATAAGTGTGTACATATATATGTATATTCATACATATATATGTGAGAGAGAGAGAGAGAGAGAATGATGTATATATGTATAAATCATATATATACGTGTGTGTGTGTGTGTGTGTGTGTGTATGAAAGAGAGAGAGAGAGAGATGAGGAGCAACCGACGTGCTCCGCCCAGCGTCCGGCAGAAGCGCCTCCTCTCCCGTCGCGGCAAGAGGCATCGACGTCGTCCGAGGAGCGAGTGAACTTGTGCTGCGTCATGTTGGTCGTCGCGGTGTTCCTGGCGGCGATCCTGGCGGTGGCCGGGAAGGCCCTCGATCCTACTGGCGCTGATGATCCCGTCCATGTCTTGGATCCTTCCAGCCTCGTCGGCCAGCTAAATGTGTCCCTGTTTGAGAAGCTAATGTTAAGGACTCTGCCTCAAGGTGCAGTTCCCTTCACTCGCGTTCGCTGATTTCGCTTTTAAGCTGCAAAAGTACCACTGAGCTCACTATTCTCTCCTAGGTTATCGCATCACTAAACGACTGAGTTTTATAAGTGCCTCTGCCTTTAGTACGCAGTGTATAGCATGTGTTGAAATTTCTACAAATTACATCTAGTTGCTTTATTCGCATGGACAAAGCTCAGTAGGAAGGTATTGCTGTCAAGTAGTTATTAATGCCTTTTAGAAGGATCCAGATGATGGACTCGGATGTCTCATTTTTATAGATTAACAATATATAATTATTTTCCTAGTAGAGGGTATTTCAGTAGATCAACGTTCATTATACCTTGGCTTGTTAGTCTTTTAATAGATTCAAAGAACTCTTTAATCAGGTTTTCGTTGTGATAAGCATTTAAGAGTTTCTTTCTTGGTGCTGTGCTATTTCACTCTTCGTTACATGATGTATAATAATTTTGCAAGCATTTCTCCATCTACCTGAATTGAAATTGATATTGTCTATCACATTAAAGACGATTTTCCACTCGGCATTATCCCTTTGAAACTTTCTATAAAAAAAAAAAATTGAAGTCTTTTGCTCATATGACTCTTGATCATTTTAAATTCCATATGTGTAATAAAAATGCAATTGCATGTTCTCTCAGATTAGGTGTATATTTGATGATAATAACCTTCATACAATCTGCACTATCAGCTTGCGAGAATGCGCTTTAAACAAAGTAACTCTCGTATCGTGTTTCACACTCTTTTTAAACTTTTAATTCACATTTTCATTAATCCCTTACACTTCTTATTTACAAAGCTTTCATACGGACAGATCTTTGAGTACTTAACACTAGAACTGAAACTTGATTCCATGCGTGGGAGTGTAGAATCAGTGATCTTCAAAATTTCAAGAAAAATCCAATTTAAAACTAAGGAATAAAATAAAAACAACAAAATCAATCAATACAAATAAAACTCAGAATCAAACCCAGATAACAGACAAAAAAAGTATAACAGCAACTATTTCTCCATTACAGCAATGATCCCTCTGCACCACAACTGCACCGACTACAGCGAGACGGGCGACTGCGGCCTGGTGGTGGAGAACGAACTGTGCAGCACCGAGTTATTCTACGCGCGATACTGCTGCCGCTCCTGCACCCTGGCCAAGCAGATCCCCACTTACGGGCCTCACCTCAGGCTCACCGCGAAAAGTAAGTAACCAGGTGTGACATACTCTTTTGAAGGGCTCGAAAATATTGATTTTACATATATATTTTTTGTAAATTTGATGATGATGATATTAGTAGTGACAATGATAGTATTGAGAGTAATGACGATTATGATGGTCATGATAATAATAGTAATGGTAATAATGGTAATAATAATAATATTAATGATAATAATAATAATAATAATAATAATAATGGTAATAATAACAATGAGGATAATAATCATAATGATGATGGTAATATTGATAATAATAAGGATGATACTAATCATCACTTGTAATGACAACTCTTCAATCCAACGCTAGCTAATGCTAAGGGTAATGGTAATGACAATGATAATAATAGGGGTGATAATCATGACTTATAATGACAACTCTCCAATGCAACACTGCCAGTCCCTGTAACTGCCAACATCACCACTAACACAAGGGAATTACTTTATGGCGAGAACCTCACCGTCACCTGCGAGGTCTCTGGGTCTCCGGTGCCTGAAGTGCTGTGGTTTTTGGACGACAGGTACTTCGACGCCAGTGGACAGCCGAATACAACAGGTAGAGCTCCCTTGTTTAAAGCAGGTGGATAGATGGATGATGCATGGCATGTGATTAAGTATAAACATATATATATATAATATATATATATATATATATATATATATATATATATATATATATATATATATATATATACATATATATTCATATATGTGTATGTGTGTTAGCCAGCGGTTAGTCCTTCAGCCTTTGTTTTCGTCCTTTTCGATTTCATTTTCATATGATATGGATGTTTTCTATTTCTAGATAATTAAGTAATTCACATTTAGGATACTATTGCCTTCAGTTAGGTTACAGAATTATCAGAAATGTGTTACTGATGGTTACTGAGTCTAACAGTAGTGGCGCTGGTAGCTGTTTTAGTCTTGAGTCTAGTGTAATTAACCAGCAGTAGTTGGATTTCTTACAGGTATGCATTACATGCATGTATTTATATATACATATATATAAACATATATGTGTGTGTGTATATATATATATGTATATACATATATATGTGTGTGTAAATTATATATATATATATATATATATATATATATATATATATATATATATATATATATATATATATATATATATATATATATATATATATATATATATATATATATATATATATATATATATATATATATATATATATATATATATATACAGAGAAAGTAAGATGTTTACATTGAGGCCTCTTTCTCATTCTAAGGCATAGGGGAATTTATCATGAATTTAGGCGCCGATTAGCCCTTGCCTTTCCTGTCTTTGCAGTTGAAGACCTGGGAGGAATCCTGACGAAGACGAGACGAGAAACTATCACAATACCGAACACCATTTATACTAATTATTTCCACTGCATCTGTGTAGCCATGAGCACTGAGGGGCGGCACGAAAGCCACCTAGATGTTTCTATCAAAAGTAAGACACGAGTATGTGTGTGTGTGTGTGTGTGTGTGTGTGTGTGTGTGAGTGCATGTGCGTGCGTGTAAGGTGGAATCGGATTTCTTCGCAGGAATGCGATGAGTGAGAGGATGTGAGAAAGGGCCAGGTATTGATAAAGGTGTGTACGAATGTATAAATATTGGTATGTTTAGTAATATTTTTATTCTTGCAGAGGATACAGACATATCATTTGAAATTTTACCGGGAGGGAGATTATTTACTCTCACGGAAAGTATAACTTTGGAGTGTACTGCTAACGGAGTCAGCCTGAAGGAAATCGGTTGGAAGATGAATGACGAGATCCTCCAGAACTCCGACAGCTATAAGATTACTGGTAAGAACTTGTGCCTCATACCTTATCCCTTCACCTGCCTCTCTCTTTCTTTTCTATATTTCTCTCACTCACACACTTTCTCTCTCCATGTCTCTCTCTCTCTATCCATGTTTCTCTCTCTCTCCCCATCTCTTTCCCACCCCTCCCCTCTCTCGTGGAAGGGCGATGTTGTTAAGAGCTTGTTCTTCATTGCGTCGTTGCAGCTGGAGAACGGGATATAACCAGTGCTTGGGTCTTGTTGGCGACAAATTGGTTACCATTTGCAGGTGCTTGCAACTCAGAAGTCATATTCATTGCTACATCTCGATCCTCACGCTCGTATAAAATCGAAAGAGTACAATCATCAGAATATGCTGAGATTTCAGGATGTTCCCTAAGCATATGGTCAATATATATGTTCCAAAAGATTGGGCCAAGTATAGATTCATGTGAAACCGATGCCTTTGCCGGATACTTCGGATGACTGGCCGCCGATGACAACTTGCAGTGCTCTTCCAATGAGGTAAGTATCAAACCGCCACAAGAGACTACTGCTTATGCTTTTTGCTTGTAGTTTAGGACGAAGTAGAGTATCTTTACTGGAATCCAGAGCTTCCTGACAATTTTTACTCAGCAGTAGGAAAAAGTCAGCAGTCGATCGGGAGGATCGGAAGCCAAACTGATGGAAATCAAATACCTTACTGACGCATGGCGGAAGAGAAATGGGCCAGTAATCATCTGGACTTCTGACTTCTTTTGACTGCTTCTTATAGAGAAGAATCACTCTTACTTCTGTCTAGATGATGGGCCAGCAGCTTCCTTTGCTACAGGACTGGAAGATGGATGGTGACCGCTGGAATAACTCAGCTGCACTCCTTCAAACAGTGTGTGGCCCAATATCAATTGAACCTGATTTGTTTATGATTAAATTCTGAAACATTTCTTTTGTTCTGGTGTGAGAATCGAAGCTTTCCAGAAGGCCAGCTTTTCCCCCATTACTTGAAGCAGTAGCTCCATCTGGCATGTTGAGTGAAGGTGCTGTGGATTAGCGAGTGTCCCATTGGTGCTTCTTGGCGAGTGGCCACCAATTCTGCTCTCAGACTGTTTCCTCTTTGTCTCCTCTTGTCATCTGTTGCGGGTCCATTTGCATGTGACTGTCATCTCATTGCAAGCATTTTTGTAGTTTTATTGTATTGTGGGATTGCCTTTGTACCTTTGCCACAATCTGTAATTTCCTTTTGGAGGCTCGATGACATCTGTAGCCAAACGAGGCTTGATCCCCTGATTGTGCAAGGTATGTCCTTCAAGGGACGTATTTTTCCTGCATTCTTTGTCTGCTTTCGTTAGCTGCAGGAGTGAGGCGAAAATGTAAGATAACTGCAA